AGTGAAGCCTGCAATTTCTTTTTTTAAGAATATTAAAATTATTATATGATATTGTTACTATTGTTATCTCTCCTAATTAAGGTTACAATAGTATCTGAGAGCAAGTTATATTTAACACAGTTAAATCCAGCCTCAATAGACATATGGGTAGACATCCTACACACATTTGTCAAAGAAGAAGCTTCACTGAGTGCAGTAGAATTCATTTCTGAATAAATACACTGCTACACCAGTGGTGGGTTTCAAAATTTTTTACTACCGGTTCTGTGGGTGTGGCTTGGTGGGTGGGGCAGAGGAAGAATACTGTAAAATCTCCATTTCCTCCCGATCAGCTGGGACTTGGGAGGCAGAGAATAGATGGGGGCGGGGCCAGTCAGAATTTTTACTACCGGCTCTCCAAACTACTCAAAATTTCTGCTACCGGTTCTCCAGAACTGGTCAGAACCTGCTGAAACTCACTTCTGTGCTACACTGCTTGGTTACAATTACACACTTAGCAAGTAAATTTTTCAATCCTACATATTCATCTAGAATCAAGCCCCATGAAATATAGAGAGACTAATTTACAAGTAGATATATACTGGAACATGCAGCAAATCTGCAGAACCCTTCATTTTTGCTGTCTTAAAACTATCACATATTCATAGCAATCTGCTCTTACCCATTTCCCTTTCTTGTTCTTGCTGATCATCAAAAGCAAATCCCACCGAGTCTGGCAAGGCTTACATAAAATGTATGTAAGCATTTGCAACTTTAGAACTTTTCAGATCTGGTGAGTCTACAAATCCTGGGAATATAATTCTACCACACTAGAGGTCTCCAGATTGACAAAGGCTGCTGTGACCACCATATCATACTTTTCAAACTTTTATGGTTGTTTGAGCCATCCCAACAACAGCTCCACGAATATGAAATGGCTATTAAGACTACTGATCATAAAACTGAAACAATAAATGAAAGGAAAAAAGAATATTCAACTTGTCCTTGGAATATAATTCCTACTGCTAAACCATTGCAATCCAAACAGGGTGGGAGTGAGGGGAGATGACAACACCTGAACATTAGGTTGCTAGACCAACTTTTTTTTTTTACTTATACATGGACTTTTTCCAGTTGCATTTCCATGCTGTGAAGAACTGCATTGACTATATTTCTGTTTCTTTTATTACTGCTACAAAAACTTAGGTGCATAGTGAGGATTTTTTAAAGAAAAAAATTAAAATTACTTTTTTTTCATATCGTTCTGCTCCTTCTAATCTCCCCATCAATTACAATTTATTCCTTTAAGAAGTTATAACATTTTATGAAATTCAATGTATTTCATTCGGGTGTATTGTTATTTACTGCATTTTGTTGCAAGCTTCCATGGACTGGCGTTGCTAAGAATATGTGCTTTACAAACATGTAAAACAAAAACCCCTTTCTTACTCCTCTCCTCCAATATTTTTCCCTCTTTACCTCAATGGAGGAATAAATGGCGTTATTCAGCACAGGAGCTAATAGAACAGCCCTGCAACTGAATTCAAAGGGTCTCTGTACACAAGTAAGCACTGGGACCCTTCTAGATCATTTAACCCCATTACTGGGAGAGTGATCCAATCAAGATGCCTCATTTTAAACTTCAGGCAGCCTTTCTTGTTACAAAGAATTCAAACGTTGAAGAATCTCCAGTTCTAAAAATGTTTGTAATTTTTTTACTACTGGAAGACTATTCTTTGAGATTCTCCCAAAAGGAATAAGGGCCAAAGGGATAAGGTACTCAGGATAAGGCCCCATATCTGAGCTACAGGAGCCCAATGAATATTAGATGACAACATACCTATTTGCTGAGGTATACCTCAACTTACAATCAGTCACTTAGTGACCATTTGAAGTAACAACAGATCCTCCCGAAAAGGTAATTAGTTTTGAACTTCCAAAAGCCCCCCCCTCACACACTCATAATTGCATGATAATCAGGTTTCACAGACCTTTGCATCCTGCAGTCATGAGATCATATTTTACATGTTTGCAAAAAAAAGAAAAAAAATTGGATTTATTTCCAATTTTGGGGGGAAATGCCCCATAGAAACAATGAGTTTGCATTATGACCACCACAAAAGAGGTTGTAAATTCAGGTCAGTCATGTCAGTGACCCCTTTATGAACATAGGCTTACAACTGTAGTGGGCAAACTCCAATATGGTCATAAGTCAGAGACTAACTGTAATACTCATCCAGATTTTTGCATCCAGATCATCCTGATTATGGGACAAATTAAATTACCTTCAAATCGCAATAGCAATTCCACTTAGATTTATATATTGCTTCACAGTGCTTTATAGTCCTCTGTAAGCAGTTTACAGAGTCAGCATATTGCCCCCAGCAATCTGGGTCCTCATTTTACCCACCTCAGAAAGATGGAAGGCTGAATCACCTTCGGTAAAACTTGAGCTATTGGGGTGAGCAGTAAGTAAGTCTCTAGTACTGCATTCTAACCACTGTACCACCATGGCTCAATGCTCAGAATCAGGCTGTAAATGTGGCCTTAACCATTCCTTATGTTAAACAAAAGCAAACCCAGTTTGCTTACACTGAGAGCATATTCAAACACAGAGCCATACTAGTCTTGATGTGGATGGTAGCTTGCTGCTATCAAACCTTAATCATAAGGCTCTAATGATAAAATATCCAAACACCAAAGACATCTGCCATTTAGATTTATGAACTGGCCCTCAGTTCAGGTAAAGTGATATTAGTCTCTCCAGGACACAGTTGACCAAGTTCCTATGATCATCCAGGAACCTTCACGTTCTAGGCATTATTATTATTATGGTTCATTGCACAGTCAGCCAGATGTTCAGACTGGATTTGGCATTTTTGTCTTCCTATTGAGTTCTTTCCAAGAACCTGGAACAGGCAGCTATGAATGTTTGATGGTGTTGCAGATAGATCACAAGAATGTAAGCTGTTCCAAGCAAAATCGCATTTTGAAATTCACTGCTGATGAATTTATTTAATGCCAATGACTTTCAATTGATGCTCCAGTTGTTTTGGGATTGCATCCAAAGCGCCTATTACTATTGGTACTGTTATTTAAAAATAACAACAATTTTATGGAGGAATTTTATAGAAAGGTGGTGGATATTTCGTCATGTATGTGATGCTAGGAATTATAGGAAGGGGCCTATTTGTCTATTTTGATTTATGTTTTAAAAAATGCAGAGTTTAAGCCACAGGAGTAACTCCAGTGCAGCATAATGCCAGATAAATAAGTACAGGATTGTAGGCTGCTCAGTCATAATTTACTTAACCATAATTTATCAAACAAACTACAGCTGGCTGGATTCCTACACTATGCTGACCACAAATGAGAAAACCACATTATAGTTTAAGATATTGTGTGAACCCACTCACAAGTAACCTGATATCCCAAGGCTCTAAATATTTGTTGCTTTGGTCCACAACTCACTTCAGATTTCCATAAGATTTACTAGCTGGTAAATGTGCCTAGAATTGTTATCTGAACCCAACCAGGTTCTTAGGATCCTGATGGAATTAGGGTGCTAAATAATTCAAGCCATATTATTAGATGTAATTGGACTGGGGGTTCAGATAGTTAGACAGGAAGAGCTTGAACTATTGTGTAATTTGGGTTGTTTTTGAGTAACATGTGTTTTGAGTAACATGTGTCAATCTCTATGGTTGTTATTCAGTGAAGCAAATCATGGTTTAACACCATGTGAGAGCCAGAACACCCTATAAAGATATTTTGAGCATCAGCTAAAAAATAAAATTCTCTCTTTTAAAACATCCTCCTGGTTTGTCTAGGAAGGAAATTTAACATGAAAACCTCTTTCCGATATGAAGACCATAGCCTGAATATGGCAAATAACTGTACAGTATAGAGAAAGAAAGAAAGAAAGGGAATTTGATTGGGTGCCTAGACAAATAGACTTTAATTGAGTTCATGTGTCTGTTATGTGTGCAGATGTATTTAAAGCACAACAGTTTGTAACTCTCATCCCGTTAAAGAATTCCATCATCTCTCCTAACAGCCATAGCTGCCTGCATTCTCAACCCAACCCACCCAACATACAGATGTAAAATAATGCAACTTCCATTCCTTGATGCACACTCGCACAACTGCGGGGGTGCGTAAAAGGGGGAAGGGTGAATAAAATTGCAGTGAATGCTTGTGCCTGTGTATGCAAAGAAAAGAGGTAGGTAGGAAAACAGAAAAGAAGACAAGGGGAACAAGATTTTTCTCCCCCGCTCATTTGTTTATCTCCAGATTTTCAGCCCAGCTAGACACCCCCTCTCCCCACACATACACATCCCATTCCTGACAAATTCATTTGAATAGCTTTCAAGGCATAAAATGGAAACGTAGCTTCTGCCCTCTATTTCAGCAGCAGCAGTAGCAGCGTCCTGGCAACAGAGCAATTTTCTATCATCAAGGATAAATGGCATCGAACAGAACATTCTGATAAAAAAAGTGTGTGTGTGTGTGAGAGAGAGAGAGAGAGAGAAAGAGAGAGAGAGAGAGAGAGAGAGAGAGATGGTGCGGAGGGGGGGGGGCTTTAGCTGGAGAAGATCATGATTGCCGCCCTTCCCGTCTGTCATCCCATTACAAAACCCTCTCTTCCAAACCTGAGCTGCATGCTGTCAGAGCTAATAACGTCTCTGTAATAAAGAAGCGAAAGGGGAGGGGGGGAGGAGGAGGAGGAGGAGAGACATAGCATCCAGGCACAATGTTCCCATTTATGACACAGGACTCCTCCCCACCCACCCACCCACCCCTCATCTCATCCACCTCCTTTCAAAAAGGAAAAGACCCAAATTGCAAAGATGTATCTTTGTTTGGCTGGCTTGCAAATGAAATAAACAGGAGATGTTCCCTATTCTTGCCACTCCATCCAAAGAAGGGGCCGTGGCTTCACTGTGCAGGTGACAAAAATCGATCCTGGAAGGCAAGATGGGAAGAATAATATAAAGAGGAGAAGGCGGTTTTAAATATACCATTCCTGTCATTCATGGAAGGGGATGGCGGGTGAGGGAAACAAGTGCCCCTCCCCCACTGCCAGAATTGAGGTTGCAAGGAGGTCCTTTAAAACAAGGGCAGCATCAGTAACATTCCTGCTTCCAGATCTCCCAAATGATGTGGGGACATCCCAGAGAATGGTATCACTAAATATTAAGTCAATAAATGGCCTGGGACGATGCCCCCAAAGCAGGATGTCAGCAAGCTGCGGCTTAGAAAAACTCCCATGTGTGGCTCTTGGAGGAAGAAACAGGTCCTTCCAATCTTCCATGCAAGTAGCCTGGCTGGAGGTGCTGGTCTTGAAATGCAGCTTTCCACAATCTGGCTCCTTTCAATCCAAGGATGGATCAAGGTTTCCATCATGCCTGATCCGGAGAGGAAAGGCGCTCCATCTGCAGAGGGTGGGCTGGAGTTGAGCACAACAGGAGGACTGAGGAAGGCCTACAGCAAACAAAAACACAGACACCACCAACCGGGTATTACTCCCCAAGAAAGGAGCATGGCAAGGCAACTCTGCTAAAGGTGCTGCGGCTCACTGTTGGATTTGGACCCCTACCTAGGCAGGGGCCACTGTGGTTACCCCAGGGGTGAAATCCAGCAGGTACTGACAGGTTCTGGAGAACCGGTAGCGGAAATTTTGAGCAGTTCAGAGAACCAGCAAATACCACCTCTGGCTGGCCCAGAGTGAGATGGGAATGGAGATTTTGCAATATACTTCCCCCTGGAGTGGGGAGGGAATGGGGATTTTGTAGCATCCTTCCCCTGCCATACCCACAAAGCCACACCTACCAAACCACACCACATCATGCCCACCAAGCCACGCCCACAGAACTGGTAGTAAAAAAATTTGGATTTCACCACTGGGATACCCCACTCATCTTTAAAATGGTAGGCTTCTCTTAGACTTGCTAAGACCTGATAATGGAAGCAGATGAGGGATTTTTCTTTTCTCTGATCTCTCTTTGGGAGAGAGAAACTCTGAAATTCAGAGCCATCTTTCTTTCTGGTAAATATTGTGCATGTTTATTCTGGAAGTGATTTTCTTTTTATGGTCATTTCATTCCATCCAAATTAGGGCCTGCTGTCTGCCCAGAACAAACTGTGAATCCCACCCTCATTGATGGCTGCAGATCCCTGTAAAATGATATATATATAAATCATTTCTGTAAAACATAATAGAAAAAGAGTGAACTAGTTTCAATCTAGTATGCTGGACGAAATCTAGCATGGGGGGTTAAATCAGTCTGTTGTGGAAATCCAAAAAATTGAAATTAAAAAAAAAACCACACACACACAATAGTAAATTAACCAGAGGTAATTGTATCATAAGAGTGTTGTCATTTTTTCTTCTACTATGCTTACTGAAGTGATCATTGCACTGAAATCTGTGTAATTTGAGCTATTTTATAGAGGAGAGCAGCTTTCCTTAATCCCCGTGTATTTTGCACTAGAAATAGATTGAATGGAAGCTGTTGACAAGTTCATGTGATAGTGCTTGGTTAATTAGAAGAAGATTAGAAGATTCAGCAGTCTTTACATCCTCTATCGATGTGATGACTACAAACTAGTGGCTCTGAACAAAGCTTTATTGCACAATTATCTTTTGTTCTTTACTACATTTTAAGAGGGCTTCATAGGAACATAGATTTCATACCTTTTCCTACCACTTCAACTCTCATTTTATTTACATAAAAAAAATAATTAAGATAGAACAGCTATACAGGGGATCTTTGCCTAACTTTCTGGGAAGAGGCACATGTCATAGCATGATTTAAACTCCACTGACTTCAACTAGGAGGAATACCCTCTCCTTCCTTCCCTTGTTCAACTATGACTCTCCCCATTGTGGCTAAAGAAATTGGAAAGTAACATAGAGAAGAAGAGCAGAATTCCTCTAAAAATATTATTTATCTCGATCTTCTTTAGAAACTCACCTCTCTACCAGCATCTAATCCTTTAAATTATCTTTTGTGGTTGATCAATGTGGTTGATTGAGGAAGATGAGTTTAGCTCAAAACAAGTTTAGGACTATTGGGGCCAAAATTAACTTTTTCCACTCCCACTTCTGATTGATTTCTGATATTTATTATTATTTATTTGTTACATTTATTTGCTGCCTATCTCAGGGGCTACTCCAGGAAGCTTACAATAATAAAAAGTAAGAAAAAGGAAAGGCGTATAAACAGAAGTAAAATAACAGAACAATAACATAAACAATGACAAAGGACCATAATGAGAATAATGTGTCAATGAAATAACCAAAAAGATGGATAAATAGAGAGCAGAGATGGGCGCGGAAGGAGCAGGTGGCTTTTGCCATCGATCTAGCAGTCACTTCCAGGGTACAAGTACACTAACCTCTTCTGTAGCCCTGCCCTTGATTCAGGTAGGACTATTATGTGAATACACATGTAGGTTATCATTTTGACTCTCAAACTGAAGGACAATTTAAGGCTACTTTCTTAATTGGAGTCCACAAAACATACATGTCGGTAAAAATAGTGGCCACACTATGCAACTGAAATCCTACTCTTTTTCCATATGTTGCATGCACAGAAATAATACTTCAGTCTTGCAGTTGCCACCTTGACTTTTTTGACCTTCTTGCAGTCACCACTGTTCATAGAAATAAATTGGGTGGAATGGAAAAGAAATTCCTGGTACTTCATACATGCTCAGCATCTTATGTAGAATTAAACTCAGTTGGAGTCACTCAAATACAATGATTTCCATTAACAACAATTGTATAGCAGTAGGTTTCGGGGCTTTATTTGTTGCTTTTCAGTTGTATGGGCCATATCTACAAAAGCAGCATATGTACCCAGAGAAATAAAGAGAGGAAAATATAAACAACAGGGCTTAATGGCCATGAGAAACAAGAAGTGCCTATGGCACTGGTTAGGAACCACATAATACAGGAAGAGTGACCATTCATAAGTAATCATTAATAATAACACAGTGGCTGAGTTCACACCACATGCTAAAACATAATTTGGTGAATAAGCAACAATAGCATTCATGCAACACACTGAGCCAAAATCAAACAAAGGATCAGTGCTTAGCACATGATATGAATGCTGCCAATCTTTTCAAGTTTATTATGTTCACTTAAGGTGGCAAGTTTAAATCTTATTGAAAAGGGCAGAGGTTTTGCCCAAAGTTGACGGTCCTGGCACTCTGCACTATATTTTATGAAACTATAATAACTAATGAGATTGTAATCCATTGGAAGGCGTTGGTTTCTTAATTCTAGTAAGTAATACAAATAACATTCCTAAATTAAAAGGATCTCATCAGCATTTATTTATTTAAATGACTGTCTCTTAACTCACATGGTACAAATGAAGTTCATCAAAATAACTCAGTATTAGCTGAAGTAATCCATTAGGTTTTATTTTGATTCTCATATTTTTTTATGATAGGACTGAAAGTTTGGTTGCAATTAAAATTTTTAATCTAAAAATGAAAACAGTAATGAATGGAAATTTCACAGTAATGAGTGGAATTGCAAAATATGGTTACTATACTTTTAAAAATTACTCAACTTTCCAAATTGAGTTCTCTTCATACGATTTTTTTAATAACAGTATTTTCAGCAGTTGAATCCATAACTAATTAGGATCTACAGTCATAAGCAAACCATGGATTACATGCAATGCACCCATATGCTCATATTATTTATTGTATCTTTACAATAACTAAGTAATATTTTATATAAACATAGAATTAAAGTATAACAAAGCATCAATTGAACCCAATAACAGTTCCATACACTTAATAAACTCCAGTTGTCTATTTTGGATGAATCCTCAAATACAAGGAAATCTTCCAATTCTATCGTACTTAGCTGGAAATAATTCTGCTGAAATCAGAGGAACTTATTTCTAAATTTACATATGAGATCATGTGCCCATCTCTTTGATAATAGATCTTATTTTTTATTAATCTAATTTGAAGAAATCAGAATACCTGATCAATCAAATGTGACCCTATGAAGTCTAAAAGAATACTATTTTGTCATCAGATTTGAATGAGATGGATTAGGTGAAATGGGTGCTAGGAATTTCTCAAGGATAAAGATAGATGTAGGTTAAGTTAAGATTAATAGTTTATAGTTCTAGGACTTAGTAACAGAATGTGAATTTAAATCTACAGTACTAAAGAGAGAACAGTCTAAGTATCATCTGTTCAATTCAGAGAAAAGCCATTCTTGTCCATTAGCTCCCTACACTTAACTGAAGTTGCATCTGTACTTCTGAATGTGTTTACTCCCTGACAACACACATATATATAGACGTCTGCTATAAATATTCCAAGTGATGCTTTTGCTAAGTTCAAATCACTGGGAGTTTTGCAACTTTGACTTAGTATTGGAAAGTATTCATGGGGCTTTTCTAGACACTCTTTCCAATATAAATTAAACCCATCCTTCCCTCCAGCTGTGCTTAGCTTCAAACCAAATCAAATCAAATCTTTATTACTGTAAAAGATCAACATAAGGAGGGTGGGGTACAGTCAATTAAAAAGCATAGAAAATACATTAGAGTTTAAAAATAACAATTATAAAAAGCTAAAAAAAATAAAATAAAACAGAAGTATATATAAAAGGAATGAAAAAAAGGGGGGGAGAACATTAGATGGATATAGGGGACCATAAAGAATAGCATGTGGCAAGCTAAACTTATTACAGTACAGAATATTGCAGAATGACAAACTAGAAGTTCACTAAGTGTAGTTTATGACAGAGGTCATCTGATGGATTTTAAGCACTGCTGCATATAAACTGGCAGTATTATATATTGTAGCAGAGTTAGTATTTAAAGGAAGCAACAAGGAGGTATAGAATTATCTTTATACCACAATGGTGAGATGATGCTATTAGTAATGTCTCTGTAATATAGACATCGGAGAAGCATTGCTCTGTGGTTTCTGTCTGTCAGAATCACAGAGACATTTGCCTCTTCCATATTCAAACTTCAAGGACAGCTGAGGGGAGGGCATGACGTTTTGCTAGAGTAAAATAGTTAGGTACTTCAAGATGAGTGAGTTACACAATAGGGGAAACAGAACATATGTTGGATTCTCTGGCAACAAAGATTGGGGTCCTGGCTTGATCCAGTTGGTACTTTGTGTCTGCTACACACTGTTTAATGAGGTTTTTTGTCCTAATCATATTTATTTTATTTTTATTTATTTATTTATTTATTTATTTCATCAAGCATATATAAGATAACAGATAAGAGTATAAACATTATTTTGAATACATGAAAAGGATATGAGTAAAAAGGGACATTAGGACAGGGACAGTCGACACGTTGGTGTGCTTATGCACACCCCTTACCCTTGCCATATCCTTGCCCTTATGCATGCCCCTTACCCTGCCATATCCCATGTTGAGTAGAAGACTCTTGTTGTTAGTAGGGCAAGATAAAGTAAAGGTT